AAATTGTAGTCACAACTGTTCACAGTTAACAAATGGTGGTACTGATGCATATATAAGTAATATAACCCATACGAGCGCACTTTCAATTCACCCCACCTAAGTAAATCAAGCAAAGCCAAAGCACTATTATTGAAAAAGAACGTACCAGAAAACAACACCCCCAACATGGTCATATTGATATGAAGTAATAAGGTAGGGAGATTAGTACAATTTGTTTTCAATTCGTCATCGCACTTTTTCACACCCAATATATAAATTATTATATTCGACTATTAAAGTTAAAGACAAATATTCCAAGAGACATGCATACTTTTCTTTATTGAAAGACTTGATCAAAAACGAGATCATGACATGGGTGATGGAGAAGAGTTAAGCTCGCAGGGGTGGAGACGGCGCTGCCCCTTTTAGCAGGGTTGCTCCTTTTCGCAGCGGTGGTTTTCCTTCTCGCAGAGGGGGGCACCTCTTGATGCATTCTTTCGTAAGGTAGCCGGCGAAGCAAATCCAAGGAGCTTCAACACAACACAAATCCTCCAATTGATATGGCTCTCCAACAAATCTTGTAAAACACCTTTCTATTCCCTTTGGATGTTCATAGTCATAATCCTCTTGACCTTCAAATTTCATGCACCAAAACAATTACTTTCATTAATTACTAGCTCATAAAATGAAACGTTAACCATATAGCTAGTAATCACACAGAAAAAAAAAAAAAAAAAGGAAAAATAAATAAATTATACACCATGTACCAGACTAAATTCGTATGGACTAATAATATAGATGTGAAATACATACATTTAAAAGGCTTTAACAAAAAAAAAAAAAAAAAAAAAAACTAAACATACATTCAAAAGAGCAAACACATTTTAATAAAACCTAAAAGCTTAAATTAAAATTCTTACATTGGTGAAGACCAAAGAGAGAGACAATTAAGAGAATGATAAGCAGACTCTTAGAAGCCATCGTACTTCTTTCTTTCCAACTCTTTCAATTTTCCTATATATGACTTATGCAACAACAGATCCTTGTGTGTGTGCCCCTGCCTCAAAGTCATTGAGAGTATTATAGGAGAGGATGCATCACATAAATGTTAGTATGACATTTTGATAGTTTCCAAAGAATCAAATAAATGTTAATTTTTAAGGACGACTCGATGCTATGTAATTAATTGATAAATATTTGTTTCCTTTATTTGGTCAGTTTTTATATATGTTTCCTAATTATTCAGTTCTATATTCTCACTAATTTCTGTTTTTTCTTTCCTGATCCTTTCTTTCTGGTCAAAATATGTTATTCTTCCCTTTTAGACAAGATTATTTATTACTTCTTTTGAGATTTTGTGAACCTAATTAATCATACACTATTGACTAAAACAAATAAAGAGTTACATGCGAATGCGTGTACGGTGCACTTGACTTTCTTTTCGTGTACGTACTTCTACGGTTTCAATTATTAGATTTATGGAGAAGGCTACTCCTCAGTCCTCACCATAGTTATGGAGATGGCAGTAAGTTGTGTAACATACAGTAGTTTTATATGTTTATCATCATGCTCATGCATATACAGTTATTGTAGTCATGCATGCATTGTTGTAGTTACAAATTGTAGCCATTTAACGGTTTAATAGGCTAAGATTTTTCAGATTTCAATTCGGTTTGGTTTGATACGTTTGTATGTCCATACCCTATTTTCGAACATAAAACGATTCAAATCACAGAGTTAAAAGACTTGATAAAAAAAAAACCTCATCTCTCGTAATTCATTTGTCTTCCTCTTTAACCATATGATGTAATCTATAACACAATTTCAGTTCATCTTAACGTAATCTGTAATACAATTTCAATTCATCTTAATATAAATAACAGTAGTGAAAAATGATAGGTAGTAATTAATTTCATTTATCTTATATGATGAATTTTGCGTGATTCAAGAAAATTCTTCCACTTAGGTTCGCGAGACGAAACATATTGAAGAAAAGTGGGGAAATCAGTATCCATATACTGCGGTGGATTAAGTTCATCGACGAGCTTCGGTGATGGTTTTACAACGGTTCTATGAAAATTTATGGAAGACTCAATTCTATGTAAATAATTAATTCATATTTGTGAAAAATAATAATAATAATTCATATTTGTTCCCTTCTTTTGGCAATCGGTTCTATATTCTCACTAATTTATGTTTTTTATTTCCTTTTTCTGTCTTTCTGGTCAACATATTTTATTCTTTCTTCTTAGACAAGATTATTCGTTAATTACTTCTTTTGAGATTTTTAAGCTAATTGATGATTACTATATTGACTAAAATAAATGGCATGTCAATTAGGGCTAAACCCCGCGGGCTAGTTTGTCCCGGCCCTGAAAAACATCGGGTTCGGACTTAAATATATATGTCCAGAAAAAACCGGTCCTTTTGGGCTAAGCCCATTTGGGTTAAAGGGTTTTTTGGGCTTAGCCCGGTCGGGTTCGGTCCGGTCCGAAAAGCTCTTATACAAATATATTTTGAATTTTTTGAATATTTTAGTTTGATTAAAAGATTTGATTAATGTTATAGTTTTCATATTTACTTACTAGTCTTACTTGTTACTTTTAAAATCTTTATACAAAGCTAAAACTAAATATATATAAGTATCATGATATTGAAATCATCAAAATATCTATTAAATTTTGACTCTATCTTATACTTTAAAGTATTTTAGTTCCATGTTTTATTGGGTTAAAGTGTAAATAATTTATTTGGCTTTTATTTTTTCTCTTAAATTAAGTTAGTTTTATTGAATATTGATAAGTTATTTAAAATTTGATGCATTATTTTTATAGTAGACCTTTAAATATAGTTTTTAAAAAACTATTATGAACTTAGAAATTGATTTTTTTATCGGTAAATAAAGCCCTAAAAAAGCCCGAAAAGCTCTGTAGCCCTGTTAGGGCCGGGCCGGGCTTTGAAATATAGGCTCGGAAATTTTTCGGGCCGGACCGGGCCGGGCTCACATGTATGAGGGCTTTACGGGTTTCGGGCCGGGCCGGGCCGGGCTAGCCCGATTGACATGCCTAGATACACTTCATATTTACAGTTTTATTAGATTTTTATTATCTTTTTTATCATGTTTCAATTGTATTTTTATTCTTTCATATAATGCATTTAGTGTCTGAGTGAGTTTTCTTGTCTTTTAGAAGACATATAGTGTTTTTGAGTGTGTTTTAGGGTGTTTTAGTGTATTTTGGGTGTGTTTAACTCATTTCAGGTTAAGATAATAGAATACACATGTTTGAATGCAAAGTAGAGAATTGATGATGCAGATACAGTCCGAAGTCTTTCAAAGATCGACTCAGATGAAAGCTTTAACTTGTGATTTAGCTTGTCAGGGAGAGAATGTGGAAGATTGTCAATACGGAAGATTGTCAGGGAGAGAATGTGGGTGGAGTTTCAAGAAGTCTTCTCCAACAAAAGTTATTGTCTTTGATCTGGTTAAAACTCTTGCCGTACTGTACTGGAGCCGACATGTCAGACGACATGTATCATGTTTGCATGTATTTTGATCTCTCCTCGTTCGGAAGCTCAAAGGATCTCTTACAGTACACTTCTATCATGTTCCTGCTCAGATCCCCCTATATCCCATGATTCACCACCTACACGCCCATTGACATATATAGCTTACCTTGTTTCGCAAGCAAGCTAAATATCTTCATGTAGTTTAGGGTTTGATAAGAAGCAAACCTGGAAGAAGCCGCAGGTTTCGCAGGCCTCAGCTATGGGTTGTAGGACATGAGACCGGCCTCAGCAGATCAATAAGGGGGAAGTTTTAGGTTTAGTTTTGGTGTGATGAGCATGAGCTTGTTGGATTTAGTGAAATGGGTCAGTCAGGTTCATGGCCATATATATTTGGCTGGCACTTTGGTCACACCATTGTCACAAAGATCCTTTTAGGTATTTCTTGGTCTCTAATTCTTCGACCACCGGAGCTCGCTGTCATCGACATTTTCCCTCATTGTACTGTAAATATGTACATATGGTCACACCTTCATTGTACATGCATGCATTGATATCTATCAATACTAATATTATATATACTCAAATACTATTTGAGCGATAAAAGCACGAGATGGTAGGCCGGGTCTGGTTGGCAACAATATCAAAATACATTTGAAAATGAAAGAAGGAAATAATAATAAGATTTACTAAAGTCTACTTATAGTTTACGAATTATGGAGTTATAGTGCCTTGATAAAAGATGTTTGCTATTATATTCTTGACGTTCTTTTTTTCATCAGAATTCTGAGATTGTGAATGCATGTCAGATCGATGAATTTCATCAGCAGCTCTATGAAAAACTGGCACTAACGGCACAACGGTTCTAAACCGAACGAATCCAAGTTTTTGACAATCGGTTTTTCTTGTTAAAGTCGGTCAAAGAAATGAATCAAATGACTTTAATTTTCCCGCGTAATTTATTGCTTGCGTTGAAAGCTTTAATTCTTCACATTGATTTGGTTCGGTTTGATTTGTTAACAATTTGTGTTTGCTTTCAACTAACACCATTTTATTTATGATTTTATTTTCCTTTACACTCCAACTTACATTCCCACAACTCTTATTGACTCTCCTCATAAATCCTTTATTTTTATTTTATTTTATCCAACAACCTTCTCGTATTAGCCATCTTTCAATTCTTTTTTGGGTGATCATGATGATCATTAAAATATTATTATATATACATAATATTCGTTATTCCTACAAAATTGATCCGTAGCTTATAAAATACAACTTTAATCATGGGAGAGTCATTTCACTATCAATCAAACAAAAATTCAGATTTTAAACAAGGGATTATTGTTTGCGTTGCCAGTTTTAGGTAAGAAAAAATTGGTAGTGCCACTTTCAGAATTGTATTTTAGGGACTGCCATATTGCTTAAGAAGGGCATGAGGCAAAAAGACAGAACTACCCCAAGCAAGGTGGAGCAACAGCTTTGCGCTTTTGCTGCTATAACCCAGAAAGCAGAAATTTGTTAGGGGATGGGACATTATTTTTGGTGAACAGAGAGCATTAAATGGAGTCGATGGATGCTATTACCCAGTGTATAATCGGATTTATTAGGTCATTAGAGAGTAAATCGGAACTGCAAAACAAAATCTATAAAAAAGATTTCTGGGAGAGGATCGTGTTAAAGGAGGAAATTTGTTTTGAAGATTTGGAGGTGATTAACGGCGGAGAAGAGATAAAAAGGTAAAGTCCATCATTAATCATTGGTTGTTTTGCATTAAACATGTTATAAATGTTATTGTTGGATGTTAAGCAGGTTCAGCTACATCATATTTTATCTTATAAATACTCATTTTTACATCCTCTTCCACCATATCTGATATTCTCAATATTTTCTTTGTTTAATTTTTAATGTTCTTGCATGGGTTGAAAACTCAATTAAGATATCATTGTAAGAGCTTGATTATATATTTGGTTAAAACTTTTGTTTTCAATTATATTTCTTCTTTATTTTATGTACTTCTTCATTTTTTCATTGTTTTTTATACTATTAAATGTATAATACATATGTATAATAATACTTTATGGCTATAAGAAAATTACTTTATCGATGGGATTCAAAAATATTGATTTCTGACCATCGCATCATAAGAAAATCAAGCTAAATAAACCATTTTCATTGTTTTACTTTATATGTTTTTTCTTTCTCACATATTCATGTATATTTATTTTATTTTCAAAGTATGTAATTATTTTAAAAAAATATTTTTTTGTTATATTCAAACCAGTTACTGCTACTATTGCTACTTCAATTTGTGTGTATATTTAT